GAGCTGTGATCTTATCAGACAAGTTGTGGCTCTGTTAGGATGTTCTGGAACCCTTCACTAGCCCCCTCACCCTGCAGTGAGGGTGACATAGGAGCCGAATATCCTTCTGAGGGACCACAGCTGGCAGAGGAAGGCCAATGTGTGTGGAGCCATGGGTGCTCATGTTGCCCAAGCCACTGAGATGAGCCAGCAGTGACCAGAGGAGCTGGGTGGTGTTGTCATTATGTGATGATGAAACCATGGGAACTTCACCTTAGTTCACACTCCCTCAGTGATTCGGCTGAGAATTGAACCTCGGCTTTCAGACACCAAAGCTCAGGTTCTGTTCTGTCCCATCATCCTGCTCTTATCTCTCTGTGGTTCAGTCTCCTGGATGGGAAAGGAGAAATGACTCAACTGCTCTGTTTCCCACTTGACAACCCATCTTCCCACCCACCAGATCAATGACTCTGCCACTCCAGGGGAGTGTATTTAAAATGTGCACTTTAAAAAACTGGTCCTTCACTGTTAATACAGACTTCAGGTTCAAAGTGGGGACTGGGCCCCACGAGGCATAAAAATGAGAGGTCTCATTACCGTTATTTTTGAGGTCCTTTTCTAATTCTGAGCTGTTGGCATTAGGTGGACAAAAAAGGCTTGGGGCTATACACAGTGATAAATTGTAAGCTGTCATCTGATTGGATGAGGAATGTTGCTCAGTGTTGTGTAGCACTCCAAAAAGGTATTGCAGGAGAACAGTGTTGACTCTTGGCAGCTGATCTAAGAGCCTACAGACAAAAAAATGCACTTCAAAATAAAGCAAGTCATTTCGCATAGGAAGAGGAAATACAGAGACAGAGAACAGAGTACTTTGTAAACCATGTACACAGTCTCCTCTCACAGAGTTCTAAGCATGAATGCATACAGAAATGTTTCATTGATTTTAATTCCTGAACCAGATAAGAATTCTGGTTGATTAAGTGTTTGACAAAGTTAAGATCATATCACTGGCAGATTGATTCTCTAGCATTTCTTTTTAGACCAGTGGATTGCATCTCCAGCAGTCCCATGTCTTCAGCAGGTGTGAAATGGTCATGGATTCTATATTAATAAGATAGGAGAATAACAGAATTCAGTAACACCAGTAATGCATGCATCTATTTTTCAACTGGCCTCTATGGGTAGTAAATGAAACCGTTTGACATTGGTCATTAGTGTAGTGGACAAAGCGGTAAACTTAGGCTAATATTTTCCTAGGAGGATGTTGGTTGTATTTTTGAGGTGTGACCAGAGTAGAGGAATTAACTGCATCATTACCTCTGGGATGCAGTTATTTTTTCCTCCTCATTCCCTTGATCAAGAACACCGAGCCATTTATCGTAGAGACTGGCTGAAAATATACTTTCTTGGATATTTCGAAGAAAATCCTTAAATAGTTTTTTAAGATACATATGTTATTATAATAAATATATATTGGAGAAGTAACAAAGAAAACACATAGTTTAATAATTCAATTCAGGCCGCACTTCCTTTCCAACTGCCAAACTGGTAGAGCCTGGCTCTGACTCTGCAGACTTGCACACGCAGAAGCAGGAGCTTGGGTTTTCTCTGTCTAAAATGAGAAGCATCAAAGTGGAGTCTGGACCTCAGTGAGAATGACAAGAAAGCCCCTACCAGCACCTGGACCTTACTCTTTGTGTCCATTTTAGCACACCAGTGCAGACTGACCAGGTCTGGTGACAACTCATCCTAAATCCTGTTAGTGTCTTGGAAAGCAATGCGCACACCCATGTTACTTGTTTATGTTAGACACAGTGCTTGCTCTTAATTCAAGTAAGAGAGGTTCTGAAGCAGAACACACACCCCTCCACTCTTGCACACATACTAAGAGAGAACTGGGCTTTCTGACTTGAGGTATGTGTGCTTCATGGGGAAAAAAACC